CTGAGGGTCTCTGGCAGAAGGGGATGGGACCAGGGCAAGTGCCAAGGCATGGTTTACTGGAGGAGCCTCACCGTTCCTCTCAGGCCATGTGGGGGGGCTGGATGGTGGTGTGGGCTGCCCGGAGCCTGGTCAGCAGAGGTCAAATGCCCAGCCTGGCCCTCGAGCACCCGCAGCACCAAGCCCAGCCCCACTTCCCCAAGGGGGCGCCTAGCTGCACTTACCTCCTCCTCAAGGCTGCTGCTGCTGTGCTTGCTCTCCTTAGTCAGGTTGCTCATGATGAGTACGAGGGCAAAGTCAGAGGGAGGCCCATTCCCTCTCCATGGGAGGAGACCTGGCTTTGTATCCAAAGCTTCCTTAGCAATAGGATGGGAGACCCCAGGATAGGCCAGGAGGAGGGTGCAAGGGGATGGTAAAAGGCAGCAGGACCGAACTAAGGCAGGACTTCCCTCAGACCCTCCCTCTCCTTCTTCTTTCCTTTCTTCCTTCCTAAGTACAGAGTGGTGGGAAAATATTTGAGATGAGGGAGGGAGAAAAACAGGCAAGAAATGCAGCCAGGGCCAAGGCAGTGGGGACCATTCCCTCACTGTTTCCAGAATGGCTTCAGGGGCCACATGAAACCACTTCGCGGGCCGCATCTGGCCCCCGGGCCTTGTGTTTGACATGTCTGATGTAGAAAGAAAATGACAGTTGAAGACTCTTGCTTTGCAAAGCAAGCTGTGCAAAGCAATGTAGGTTGCTTTGGTTTTAGAATAATACATCAAGTCAGGCCAACCATTGTGGGTATGAACCGTAGGCTGTGCTTAGCATTATTGTGAACCCATTCAGTGGTTTATTCAGTAAGTCATAGTTGTCAGGCATGAATAACCAGTTACACACATGAAAAGTTTAATTAGCTACTTTATTGCTCATGTCTATTTCACAGGATGGTTCGTAGACAAATGGTTTGCACCTGGGCCAGACTAGATAAGGTTTAACTGCATTCAAGGGGAATTGGATTTTGCCTTTTTATGCTTATTTAAAGATTCTAGACCAGTGGTGGCGAACCTATGGCACGAGTGCCAGGGGCGGCACTCAGAGCCCTCTCTGTGGGCACGTGCGCCGTCGCCCCAGTCCTAGACCTTCAGCTGGGTTTTATAAAACTTTTTGCACTTTAGGCCTCCGCTGCCATGTGCAAAAAAAAAAAAGGTTCAATCAATCAGTCAATTTCAACTTCTCATGGAAAAAAAAAAGATCTTGCAAAGTTGGAATTGATTGATTGAACTTTTTAGTCCCACCCAGTCTGTCGTTACCACTGCAGCCACACCCATCCAATTGGCCACGCCCCCCAATGGCCACACCCAGCCAATGGGCCACACCCACCTGGCACTCGACAATGCATAAGTGGGTTTTGGGTTGTAGTTTGGGCACTCAGTCTCTAAAAGGTTCGCCATCACTGTTCTAGACTAATCACCCACTTGATGTCTCACCTTGACTTGGCCAGTCTCTCTCCAGCGTACAGGTAGTCATCGACTTAATGACCATTTGTGTGGTCGAATAACTGGCTGAAGGAGAGGGGGCTCTTCTAAGGCGAATAAAAAGACATTCTAGCTTGGAGCTGGCTTGGGAGGGAAAATGTCTGAGGTCAAACCCTTAGGTCTATATCTGCTGTTCCTCAAGGGAAGATAGGCAGTCTGGTGAGATTCTTGTAATATAGGTGATCAGCAATAAATACTTGGGTCTATTCACAGAGTAATTTTGGTGGTTTGAGTTACTTGTGCCTGACAATTTGTTTAATGACTAAAATTACGATGGTATTGGCGGAAAAAAGGCTTACGTTCAATCTTTGCACTTGTTATCATCACAGCATCCCCATGGTCACAATATGCTAGTTTGGGCACTTAACAAATGGTGTGTATTTGTGACTATTGCAGAATCCTGGGTTCATATGATAATCATTTGTGAATTTCCCAGGGGGCTTCCAACAAGCAAAATCGCTGGATTTGCTTAATGACCAAAGAGAAAAAGATAGTAAAATTGGACATTGGATAAATAATCACATTGCTTAGCAACAGAAGTTCTGGTCCTAGCTGTGGTCATAAGCCAAAGGTTACTTGTGTGGCTTAAAGTAATTTGTGAAACAAGTCTACACGCTCATAATCTCACAAAGAGCAGGTAGGATCAAGATGCATCAAGATGTTGAAAGATGAGTCATTCAAAGACTATTCCAGAAGCTTGCTTAGCTGATTTTGATCCTTTGATTTTCCCCTTATCTCCACGGGGACATTATCACCAACTGGGAAAGAATAGATTTTTGTTTCTAGATTACAGGCATTTTTATTTACAATAATGTTTATTCCTTACCAGTAGGTTTGGGTGGTTTGTTATCCTAGAAGCAAAAACTAAGTAACTGTAACAATAATTCCATGTGGAGTCTCTTTTCAAAATTATTTTTCATGACCCCATATCTATTCTTTAAAATATGGAACATTTTAAAGTTTATTTTAAAACATTTAAAAAACAAAAAAATGACCATGTAAAAGAAAAAAAAATGTACATAGTGAAAATGCAAACATCTGGTAAAAAAAATGTACAGTTGTCAAAGTTTAAAATTAATTTTCATTGATTGAACAATGAATTGAATATATGCAGCTATTCATTGTATTTTAAGAAATAATTGAAAACCACAACACAGCTCTAAATAGGAATAGGAATATTGATATCACCACTGTTCATCGTGATTCCTAAAATAAATGCATGCAATCTTTTATGTATGTATGTATGTGTGTGTATATATATATATATATATATATATATATATATATATATATATATATATATATATATATATATATATATGGTGAGAATGAAATATGATCACCAGGAAAAGTTAAAACATTAAAAGTTTTAATATAAAACAGAAGTTTTAAATAAAAACATTAAAAGTTTTAAAAAAATTAGCAACCTAGCTTTCGTTGGCTTCTGCCAACTTCATCAGGGCGTACACAAATCAATGGGAGTAAACATTTATATGTAAGTTAACGCCTGCGCTCGACTCCTGGACCGTGTAATAGGTCCAGGTCGGCCAATCATAGCATTCCCTGCAATTGCTGCATGATTGAGTGACTCATCTACTTGTATCACGCATCCCTCATCAGAGTTTAAACAAAACTTCGACTCTCCACTCATCCATATCTGTGGTCTAGGAGGATCCTCGATCTTATTCCAACTTGAGATGTCATCCCCACCACTAAGTCGTCTCCCCCTTCTCTCTTCCTTTGAATTCTCCATGAGTTTATGGCCCTCCCCTTCTCCACCAGTCTGACATCTACCCTTAACATCATGATGTTTTTTACAATGAAGCCTCACTCTGGGTAATGTACTTGTGCTTTCACTGCATGGTTCTCCCCCATGCACCATTTTCCCAGCTTTCCCAGCCTCGCTAAGTTCCGTAACAGTTGTTCTCCCCTTTTTTTGAACAGCTGCCAACCCATTGTGGGGGTTGGACTGTAAATCATGTTGGCCAATCATTGAGGCCGTCAAGATCCCCAAAGGTGGTTGCTTGCAAACTCCAGTGGGTCGGTCTCGCTTCTCCCCCGGAAGGGATGTGATGTAAAGCACGATGCGGATCCTGGTGAAATGCACACGCTACCATTCACCCTGGCTAGTAATGCTGCCTTCCAAGATCACGTGATTATTCCTTCAGCAGGGAGTTTACAGTAGCCCTCTCCTCGTGTATCTATAGGGGGTGTGGTCAAACTGTCAATCCGAGCTCTCGTTACACTCCACGGAGGCGAGCGCATCTCCGATCGACCGACATACGGGTTAGTCATCCCGGGGGTTTCTGAGGAGGCGGAGAAGATGCCTAATGTGTCGGGAATTAAATCCCTAGCCCCGGCAGGTGTTTCTTGGCGTAGTGATCGTGTTTCTATTGCGGTGCTTCGGGGGGTCTCAGGCTGTCGGCTATTGTTTGACTGGATATTAGTCCTTTCCGGCAACAGAGTGAAGTTGTCTTTACTGGGCTGCCGGTAATGGAGTGAATGGGTGTGGGCTTCCCACGCTCTTAATGTTAGGTGTGCAGGGCGCAAGTCTATATGCCGATTAATCGACTCCTCTTGTGAAAGCCATGCTTCTTTAAGCAACCTACCACTCTTTGTAACGTCGCTAGCAACCACAGTCACACCCTCAAAATTGAATTTGTGCCCAAAGTCCATCATATGCGTAAGGATCTGGGAGTACTGTTCTCTTCTTATGGCCAGCTTGTGCTCCTGGACCCTTGTTTTTACCCTCTTAGAGGTCTCACCCACGTAGTTAGAGGTGCAGTCCTTACAGCTGATTTTGTAAACAACCCCTGATTTCTCTGCCGTGGGGAGTGGGTCTTTTGGCCTCATAATACATGAACGTAGCGTGCGGCCAGGTTTATGTGCCACCTCACATGGGGTGCCAGTATTCTGGCCGTAGCCTCTGAGACACCGCTGACGTAAGGGAGGGTGACACGTGTCGTCAGGGGTGCTGGTGCCCCCATCTGCTGAACATGAGGCCGCAGGAACTTAGAACTCAGAAATACATCTGATATGAGTGATGGGAGGATCAATCGATCGGGCCCCGTAACGAGGTCTATGAGCCGTGTGCAGGCGCTTTTGTGCTTATAAGCAAGCTCCCCCACCCTCTGGTTTTTATACCCTGACGATGATGGCAGCAATACAGCCATCGAAAGCTAGGTTTTCTATTTATTAAACATTTAATTGTTTTATTTCCTGGTGCTCATCTTTTATCTTTTACATACACACACACACACACACACACACACACACACACAGGGCTTTTTTTCTCATAGAACGCCCAGAACAGAGTTCCAGTACCTTTTTTGGATAGAACTTTGTAGGTAGGCAAGGTGGGTTGTATGACGTGTGTGAGTTCCGGCACTTTTTTTTTTTTTTTTTTAGAAAAAAAGCACTGTGTGTGTGTATACACATATATATTCTTTGCCTTCTCACATGGCTGCTTCTTCTCCCTCTTGACAGGTATCATGTCTCTGTGGTTCAGCTTCTTGTCTGTTGTGTGGCTGTTGTCCCTCAACCAAGAATTCAACTGTAACACGCCTCAGCTTCACCTTGTTCCTCTTCCTGGGGACATTGGTGTCCATCATAATGATAATTCCAGGAGTGGAAGAAAAGCTGCACAAGGTGAGTGACACACAGTGCAGTGCTTCCTCTTTCTCTCTGAGGCCAAAAGTGCTTCAGAATTTCAAGTGAACTGATACTACTGTAAGTAATTTTAGCAATTATAGTCATTGTTAGAGGTGTGTGAGATATTTTGACTTTGTAGCAGCTGTTACAAGTTTGAGATGGATTGGTCTAATGCAGGGGTAGGCAACCTTGGCTCTTTTATGACTCGTGGAGTTGAAGTCCACGAGTCATAAAAGAGCCAAGGTCGCCTACCCCTGTCTAATGTTATTAGAAGGCTCCAACACTCTTGATATTCTGGAAACATTTTGAACTCCAGGCAACTCCAAAATATTTCCAGAACTCTTCAGGAATGGTGGCTGTATTGGGATACTTCCAGGGTTTAAAATGGAGCATTGTGGATTTGAAAGAACTTGCAAATCACAGATTGTAATCCCTTTGTACGATGTCCACTGGTCGTATCCTATATTTTATTCTGAGAACTCAGGATGTTTTATTTCCAAAGCAGCCAGTTGGTTGGTTGATTGGTTGGTCAGATTGAAAGTGAATTGCCAAAATTACCTAGTTAGCAACATGGTTGAATGGAAACCTAGCTCTAGATCTTCCCAATCCCAGGGTGGCACCATAGCTTCTGTATTACACTGAACATCACTGAAGGAAATCTTAGTTACTTCAAATTGGGATATTGTACTTCCCACCGCATAAGAATTTCTTTGAAAAGTGTTTGGAAACTACAGCTTTAGATGAGAATGCTAAACCCTATAAGACAGAGGTCTTCAAACTTGGCAACTTTAAGGGCTGGCTGAGGAATTCTGGGAGTTGAAGTCCACAAGACTGGTATAAGATAATAGAAGCTGAATATAGAGCACACAGTTCCCTACTGAGATAGCTGCCCTATCTTCCTATTTATTCTGTCTATTCTTCAAAGAACTGGTGATGACCTTGAACATATGGTAGGTATGGTCTAATTAGGAACTATGGGAAATTCTAAACACCTGGCAGGAACAGAGTGGACCAAGGCTGTCCAAAGCTGGTCTATTCTTAAGATGTCCTCCTCTCTCCTTGACCTGCTCTGACCAAAACAATTCAAGGATGGAGCATTAAGAATTGACCATAATGATTTCTCTCCCCACCCTCATGCATGTACACACATTATTTATTAAACTAATTCATAAAGCTTTCCTCTTACGCCATTAATAAGTATTTGGGGGCTTTAGAAAGCTCCAGGAAATACCCAAACTGCCTCTTGGTCCTTTACCCTTCCATTTACCTTCCATTTCAGAGGCCTGGTGGCGCAGTGGTTAGAATGCAGTACTGCAGGCTACTTCTGCTAACTGCCAGCTGCCAGCAGTTTGCAGTTTGAGTCTCACTGGCTCAAAGTTGACTCAGCCTTCCATCCTTCTGAGGTTGGTAAAGTGAGAACCCAGATTGTTGGGGGCAATAGGCTGACTCTGTAAACCACTTAGAGAGGGCTGTAAAGCACTGTGAAGCAGTATAGAAGTCTTAGTGCTATTGCTAAGTGCTATTGCTACCTGCTGTAATGTGCTGAGCTCTAGTCTTAGCTTCATAACAGGCAAGAGTGGAAATTGGCAAAGAAGCCAATTTGTGATTTGTCTGTTTGCTCTTTAAGTGGTTTCTGTAATGTCATCCTTCCACATCTCACATGTGCTGTGTTTTTAAAGAGCTTTATCTGATGTTCTTTTGCCAACTCATGATTGGTTGGGGTTGTATATTTCTCCATTACCGCTCAGATTTCCAGATTGGGAAAAAAAACCCAGGGGAAACATGTAGTCCTGAATTTGTTGTTTGGAATTGAACAGAAGTGTAAGATGCCAGGGGAAGATGGAAATATTATGGTGTAATTTGGCCTCCTCACCTCCACCAAAAGCAACAATTTCCCCAAATTTCTTTAACAAAGAAACTTGAAAAGAGAAAGGATGAGTGGCATAGTGGCCTAGAGGTGAAGACACACACCTCACATTCAGGAGGTTGAGAATTCAATCCTAGGCAGTGACAGATGTTTATCAGGGCGCAAAGGGAAAATATCCACTGCTAACTCCAGGTAGACATCAGAAGGGCATCTGGCCAGTAAATTCTCAGCTCCATTAAGCTGCCCTGACTCCATCCTAATAAAAGGGATTATAGGGTCATAAAAAGAAAAAAAATGAAAGGGGAGAGGATGAGGTTACAGAAATCTCAGTAACTGGATTGTTTCCCCTCTTTAGGATTCAGTTTAGCTCATGGATTCATAAGATGGAGACTTTCTCAATCTCTGGTTTGTATGAATGGGTAAATAGGTTCTTCTCTTAATTTGATCAATTTTAATTTTCAATTGAGGAACGTGCGGGTGGTTAGAATGTGAATCTCTTTCCAAATATGCCATTATATTGTCCTTATACAACATGGGAAATTTTACCAACATTATAATATTGTCCTTTGAAAATTATTGTATCAATAGCTTCTTCTTGTTAAATTGAAAAATAATGCTGAGAAACAGGCAGGGAAATAATCAGTAGTTGTTGCATTAAAGATTAGGGCTTTTCTAAAGTTGTCTTTGTCCTTGGACCAGCTTCCTGGTTTCTGCGAAGGAAGCAGTTCGTCTGTGGGTCTCAAGGTTGACTGCAAGGCTTTCCTGGGTCTCAAATCGGTGTACCGCATGTGTTTTGCCACAGCTTCGTTCTTCTTCCTCTTCGCCCTGCTAATGCTCTGTGTCAGGAGCAGCAAGGATCCCCGAGCTTCAATACAGAACGGGTGAGGCCATGAGTCCATGTGATGCTATTCATACTCACATTTTATCCTATCCCAAACAGCAGAAACCAGATCAGAGAATCTGGGAGTTAATTCTGGGAATCTTCCTTTGATTCAACTTGCAGACTCATTTTGTGTTGTTTGTGTGTCTATGACTAAAGGCAAACAAAGCCACAGAACCAATATTGATTTTGACTGGTTTAAGACTCCCCCCCCCCCGCTTTTGCTCCAGTATTATTTCAAAGCTTCTCTTTCCATATAGCTGTCATCTCAAGACATTAAACTGAACTTGATAGGATCGTCATGTGTGTAAACACAGATATGTTTAACCTCAGGATCTACAACATTGTTTTTCAATTTCTGGCTTCTTTCTTGCATCCTCTCTTCCATAACTTTCTCCGCTGATCTGTACCTTCCAAGCTTCTAGAGATTTCTAAGATCGTCCTTGGCAGAATTCCAGTCAAAAGAAGAGCAGAGATCTAAGAAATGGAAAAAAATGTTGAAACTGACCTTGCCTGTGCAGTCGGTTGGGTCAATGGTTATTGGGTATTGTCAAATTTAGTTAAAAACTCTAAGCAGGGTAAAATAAACTGCCCAAGAAAAATTACAGCAGGATCAATGGACTAATATTTATTTTTAAGACTTCCCTCCCCCTATTGGAACTCAGGATTGAAAGGCTGATTAAATAGCTTATTTCTCTGTGTATTTTTATGTGTTCCAATGACTTGTTGAAATCCAGTTTCTCCCCATTAGTTGCTATATTTTATAGCATTGCCTGTTGATATAAAGCTTCAGAGGTGAAACTAGAGTTCAAGGCTTGCAGGAAGGTGATATTAAATGTCTTCATGCCTTCCCTGAAACAGGACCATGCAAGCTTTATAAATAAATTCTCTCTTAAAAATAAAGTAACCTTGCTTCATCAGTGACCTGGTTTAGTGGTATGCTAACCCATACTATAAATCAGCTTAGTCTCTGAACCTAGATTGTTTCCCAGCAAGGTCTTTAGTCATGTTTACTTACAGCTCATCTTAAATATAGCCAGGTATGTTATTCAGATCTGAAGTACAGGTAGTCCTTGATTTATAACCATCCACTTAGTGACCGTTTGAAGTTACAATGGCACTGAAAAAAGTGACTTATGACCGCTTTTCTCACTTAACAACAGTTGCAGCATCACATAATATTTGATCCTTGCCAACTGGTTCATATTTATGATAGGTGCAGCGTCCTGGGATCATGCGACCACTTTTTGTGACCTTCTGAGAAGCAAAGTCAATGGAGAAGCAAGATTCACTTAATAACTGTTACTAACAACAACTGCAACCATTCACTTAACAACTGTACCAAGAAAGGCTGTAAAATGGGGCAAAACTTCCTTAACTCCTTTCTGGTGCTGCCTTAGCGTCAGAAATTTTGGGCTCAATTGTGGTCCTAGGTCAAGGACTATCTGTAATGGATTGTTGTAAGGTTAGCTTTACTTAACTCAATTCGGGCATATGGTCTGAACCTAGAGTACAGGTAATCCTCGACTTACATTCATTTAGTGACCATTTGAAGTTACAATGGCACTGAAAAAAGTGACTTATAACCATTTTTCACACTACCATTGCAGCATTCTCCAGGGTCACGTGATCAAAATTCAGCCGCTTGGGAAATGACTCACATTTATGATAGTTGCAGCATCCCTGGATCATGCGATCCCCTTTTGCGACTTTCTGACAAGCAAAGTCAATGGGGAAGCCGGATTCATTTAACAACCATGCTACTAATTTAACACCTGCAGTGATTCACTTAACAACTGGGGCAAAAAAGTCATAAAATGGGGCAAAACTCACTTAACAATGTCTCGCTTAGCAACAGAAATTTTGGGCTCAATTGTGGCTGTAAGTCGAGGACTACCCAGTAATGACTAATTTATCACAAAATCATAATTAGTCCTCCACTAAAATGATACTGTTAGAATGTCTGCAAAACGAGAATTGCTTTTCCAGCCATTTATGGCTCTTCCTGATTTATTTTTCACACCTGGCGGAATGAAAGGGCAGCTATAAAATTGCTGAAAAAAAGATTAGTTGTCCACCTAACATGCAATTGCTCCAAATCTAATAAGAACTATTTGGTTTGGGACGTGGATGTTGTTCATTACTGGAAAATGAAAAATAAATCCGGAAGTATTAGTGAGAGCAAAGGATGCTGAGATACAGATCAAATCACAAAGCAGCAATAGTTTTGTGTCGTACAGGACATGATTGCTGATGATACCTTAACTGTAGTTGAGTTACCTTTTCTATAACTCTGAGGAGAAATTTTCTTGCTGCCAACTTCAGGTTTTGGTTCTTCAAGCTCCTGATCCTGACTGGAATAACTGTGGGTGCCTTCTATATTCCTGATGGAACATTCACATCTGGTAAGAAAAAAAAAATCATGTATTAAAATGAATCTCTGATGCAAAATTCTGTTCATTATGTATGCAGGCATTGTCTTAATTAAAGGGAATGTCTCAGGGCTGAATGATGGTGCTTAAGATTAGCTTTGGATTTTATGAGAGGGGACTAAGTGCCTTTATTTGCTTGTATCATTATTATCAGTATTTTTATTTATTTTTATTTAATTTGTTCAATGTATTTAATGCCCCTCACCAGGGGGCTGCTCTAAGCAGTTTAATAATAATAAAAAAGGAAAGGAGTGCAAACAGAACAGAAGTAAAATAATAGAACAATAAAATAACAGTGACAAAGGAACACAGTGAGAATAATACATTAATTTAACAACCAAAAGGATGGATGGGTGGAGAGCAGAGAGCAAGGTGGGGAGAGGTGGAGTTTACCATCAATCTAGCAGCCACCTCCAATGAGATGGGCTAATTTTGGGGCTAATTGTTGGATAGTCTGCCTACAAAAAAATAAAATCTTTGAGAAAGATATTAAGATAAGGCTACGTAATGGCCCATGTGTTGTGCAGGCCTACTGGATGTCAAATTTGGGAGCAGGAGAAATTAAGGCTGAGAGAAATTATAATTCATTTAAGCTGACACTTTGCTTCCAAACTGTTTTTAAAGCTTACTCATCCTCCAGGCCTCTGTGATATATTTAAATTACCTCATTGGCTTTGTTGTCTCATTAATGCAGGGGTCCTCAAACGTGACCACTTTAAGGCTTGTGGACTTCAGCTCCCAGAATTCTGGGAGTTGAAGTCCACAAGTCTTAAAGTGGCCACGTTTGAGGACCCCTGCATTAATGGATAGTAGCATGAGAGAAAGTTGAGGAGTGACTATTTTATGTCTCATGTGTGCTTTCTTCCCAATGAAGTCTGGTTCTGCTTTGGCGTGGTTGGTTCCTTCCTCTTTGTCCTCATCCAGCTCATCCTCTTGATTGATTTTGCTCACTCCTGGAGTCAAATTTGGCTACGCAATGCGGATGAAGGCAGCAGCAAATCCTGGTATGCAGGTCTGTACAGAGCACACCTTTCCATTTGGGTTTGAAATTAGATGCTCTAAGTGCATATGGATGGATGGATGGATGGATGGATGGATGGATGGATGGATGGATGGATGGATGGATGAGAAAAGGAATTGTTTTCCCCATCATGATGCTTCAGATCTGATGGGACTGGTGTTCCTCAAATACTCAGCCAATACAGGTAGTCCTCAACTTACGACCACAATTGAGCCCAAAATTTCTGTTGCTGAAACATTTGTTAAGTGAGTTTTACCCCATTTTACGACCTTTCTTGCCACAATTATTAAGTAAACCACTGCAGTTAATAAATCTAACTGAAATGAATCTGGCTTCCCCATTGACTTTGCTTGTCAGAAGATTACAAAAGGTGATCACATGATTCCGGGACACTGCGACTATCATAAATATGAGTCAGTTGCCAGGTGTCTGAATTTTGATCATGTGACCATGGGGATGTTGCAGCAGCAGTGTGAAAAATGATCATAAGTCACTTTTTTTTAGTGCTGTTGTAATGGTCATTAAACAAACTGTTAGAAGTCGAGGACTCCCTGTGTATACAAAAGCCAGATGTGCTTGGAGAAGAGAGGGAACTCTGGTTCAGCACATGTGGATGGCCAAGGGGGGGGGAGGGGAACAAAAGTGGGCTGGAAAATTGATTTTCACGCAAAGGATTACAAGTGCTTATTTGAATGCATCGTTGGGGGCTACATTTGAGTGGAAAGAGGTACAAGAACAGAACAGAGTGGGTGAGGTTAGGAGAAAAACTGAACTCAGTTGGATTTTGCTGCATTCTTAATACATGCCCTTCATGTTATTCCCTTTTCCGTAACTAATTCTATGCAGAGCATGGAGAAAGAATAAAAAATAGTAAGCCAAAGAAATTAAAGGCATGAGATAAGGGGTGGGACATAGCTTGAACTGAACTTTTAAATTTGTATCTAACATTGCATACATCTCTAAATTGTTGGAGTGAAGGCAACAGAATGCTGGCTAGCAGTGTAATCTGGAGACTAGAGAACCTAGCTTGCATAGAATAGCAGGGTCATGCTTTGGATAAAACTAAGTTCATAGGATATTGTTGCACTGCTGTCATTTTGCTTTTAGAGTACCCTGAAACTGAAAGATACTATCCTTACTGTTACCAGGGAATGCTGCATATGAACCAGATGCATCTAAGACTAGAAGAAATTCTACATCTTTTCCATATTACTAAACAATGTTGTGTAAAAGCACTGATTTAATCTAATGCTATTAATTTGGCTACTTTCCTTGTATTCAGTCATTTTATCCCTTCTACCTCATTAAATATCACAGTTCAAAGGCAATTTTTGTAGGGCTCCTACATCCAAGGTTTTAGTGGGCTGCATGAGGCTTTGGTTGTAAACCCTTTGCTAAGCCTGAATTCAGATACATGAACCATGATTCACACAACTCATGAAGCTAAAAGCAAATAAACAACTAATATGATGGCGTCATCCAGCAATGTTGAGCTAAGGGTAAATCAATCAAATCTTCAGCATGTTGAATAAATACCTCATGACGTTCTACGTTGTCAAATCTGATGGTCCTTTCCTTCCTCTTCTTCCATAGCTCTGTTTTTCTTCACCTTTCTGTTCTACGCTGTCTCCATTGCTGCCATTGTGCTACTCTACATGTATTACACCAAACCAGATGGCTGTACTGAAAGCAAGATCTTGATCAGCCTCAATCTCATCTTCTGCATTGTGGTGTCTGTGGTCTCTGTACTGCCCAAGGTCCAGGTAAGTTCTTGTGCTCAAAATGTATTGTGAACTACTGCAGGGGTCTCCAACCTTGGCAACTTTAAGACTTGTGGACTTCAACTCCCAGAATTCCTCAGCCACAAGTCTTAAAGTTGCCAAGGTTGGGGACCTCTGAACTATTGTATATCTTTTCCCATCAACTTAATCTTAGGTAGATTGAGGGTAGGCATTTAAAATGTAACGTGTATTTTTTATTGTTATTATTTTAATCATTATAAGTAATACAGGTAGCCCTCGATTTACAACAGTTTGTTGTGACCATTAAGCGGCACTGAAAAAAATGGCCATTTTCCACACCATCACTGCAACATCCCCCTGATCACATGATCAAAATTCAGATGCTTGGCAATTGGCTCACGTTTATGACGGTTGCAGTGTCCCGGGTTGATGTGATTACCTTTTGTCATCTTCTGGCAAGCAAAGTGAATGGAGAAGCCAGATTCAAACAACAATGGTGTTATTAATTTAACCACTGCAGTGATTTGTGATTAACGATTGTGGCAAGCAAGGTTGTGAAGTGGAGCAAAACTCACTTAACAAATGTTTCAATTAGCAATGGAAATGTTGAGCTCTATTGTGATCGTAAATTTTGGTCGTAAGTTGAGGACTACTTGTACAGGAGATTTAGGCACTGGAAACTCTATCATAGTCACCAAGGGCCTTCTAAAAAAACAGTTTTGCCAGCCTATGGAAAAGCCTAAGAGTGGAATGCCATCCTTGCAACAGGGAGCAGGCTGTTCCATAGCAAAAGGCATCACTAAGAGTGCTTATCATGAGGTTCTTTCCTTGTAAGTAGGGTTAGGATTAGGATTGCTAGTTGACAGTGACTAGAGGAGACATGTCAAACTCGCAATGTCATGTGACGCCGCACAACATATCAGGAGAAGTTTTGCCATTGCTGGCAATGGGGTGGGCGTGGCTTTTGCGTGACGCATCTGGCCCGTGGGCTGGCAGTTTGATACCCCTGGACTATAGCAATAGTATCTAGAGCAGGGGTCTTCAAACTTGGCCCTTTTATGATTTGTGGACTTCAACTCCCAGAGTTCCTCAGCCTGGCACACTGGCTGAGGAATTCTGAGAGTTGAAGTTCACAAATCATAAAAGGACCAAGTTTGAAGAAGACCCCTGATCTAGAGCAATCAATGAATATGATCATGACATCATAGCGCAAAAGGAAGCTTCGTTATTGTGTCTAGTTTGGCTCTGGTTTGCCCTGAATCTATTTTTCACTACTTATAACAAGAGTTTTTGCTTCTCTACAGGATGCTCAGCCTCACTCTGGCCTTCTCCAAGCCTCCATCATTACCCTCTACACCATGTATGTCACCTGGTCAGCTTTGGCCAACGTACCAGGTAAACAGTGTCGCTATGTTCTTTTTTGAGGGCTTTGTGTGGGTTTTTTTTTGAAGATGGAACCTGCTTCTGAAATAAAAATATCCACCATGGTACACAATCAAGCCAAGAAAAATTATTCAGTCCCACAAAACATTAGCTTTTGTGCCAGTGGAATGCTTGGACCGCAGAGAGCCTTCTGTAGTTGCAGAGCCACAACAAAACTAGTGCTTGATCCCTGCTTTGATGTCTCTAGTTAGATCAGGGGTCTTCAAACTTGGCCCTTTTATGACTTGTGGACTTCAACTCCCAGAATTCCTCAGCCAAGTCATAAAAGGGCCAAGTTTGAAGATCCCTGAGTCAGATCAACGCTTTGAGCCCAGCTATAATGCACATAATTCTGTTTGGGTTTAATATGTTGTGGTTTGTTCATAAACCAAGGCTAAAGACTACAAGGGAAGCCAGGATCTGAGTTATTTTCTCTTCTAATTGCCATTCATCTCTCCATTTGCCTCTCTATTTCATAAATTGGAGAATCTAAGGGGATCCTTGCTGGAGCAGAGGAGAGATTTATCTGGTCCATCAACCTATTTAGTTTTGGCCTCATTCATGTACCACTATGTCAAGCCAATGGGTTGCAAACTGTAGAGCAGGCATGTCAAACTGCTGGCCCGCAGGCCGGATGCATAACGCTGAAACCGCGCTCAGTTGTGATACGTCACGTGACGTCACATGATGTCACGAGTTTGACAAGCCTGTACCATAGTTGTTTGGTTTCATCCTCTGCTAAGCTTTGTTTTACAAGCACAATGAGTGGGTTTACTAGTACTCTTAAGCCCAAACTCCTCAATTTGCTCAATGCAATGTGTTATCCTGTTCATCAAATTAGGACTCTAGAATGTAAGAGCTGGAAAGGACAGTGAAGACTCTGTTGACCAACTTTCTGTCTTTTTCCAATTTTTACGGCATTGACTCTGTTTTAATCAATTAATTCCTCTTAAAAACACTCCAAGATTCTTGGACTTTTAAATAGCTTTCGTTGCTTTTTGCTAGTTTTCTTTACAAATTCAGGCATAGTGCCCTCTTCTGGGGAAAAAAAAGCTTTCTCACAAAGGGTCATGATTCATGCTGGAGGGAGAAAAAAGGGCTAAGCCTCTTCCTGGTTCTGCAGGTAGGTAAACATTTCTACCTTGCTCTCTAGGAGGACTTGACCAATCAGCAAGCCTAGGAATGTTTGAGGAGCAGACAATTGTCATGCTTGAAATGAAGTGTGCATAGATTTTCTCTCTTCTTTTCGTAGTCAAACACTGCAATCCAACTCTCTTGATAAGAACAGCAGGAAACAGCACAACAGCTCAGCCCGAGAATGGCCAACCAACTCAATGGTGGGATGCCCCAAGCATTGTGGGCTTAATCATATTTGTCTTCTGCACTTTCTTCATAAGGTGAGCTTCCTGATCCAATGACCTGCATGAATTTAAGCCTTGGTTTGCTCAAGCATTCGTTTAATAATACGACAAAATTGATTAGGTTTACAGAACACGCTGCTCCATCAACTGGTTTGCAGATCAGCATGTCTGCATCCTAAAACCAAACAAATCGCATTGTGGCTCAGTGTGATACTGTTGGGAGGCTCAACAATGCTTTGCAGAGCTGTTTTCTGTATGCTGAATTTCTCCATTTCAGCTGCAGGACTCCCTCTGCTGGTTGTGAGATTCAAATTGCTCTTTATTTATAAATAAAATGCTCTTGATTGATTGAATAGTTGCCATTAAACCTGGTGTTGATTCTGATCCACCAGGGAGATGTTGACCTTCCCCAGGACGATCTGGCCCCAAGTCCTGCCCCTTCTGGTTTTCCAGTGTTGCACTCATCACTACTGAAATCCAGTCCATCCACTTGCTGCTCCTCTTCTCTTTCCTTCCTCTTTTTCCAGAATTATGGATTTCTCAAGGGAGTTCTTTGCAATATGTGTCCAAAATTTGACCCTGGCTATTTGTGCCTTGAGTTAAAATTCTGGATTTCTTTACACAATGGCCCATAAAGACCATTCTCCTCATTCATCTAATGACATTTCAATGAAAGCCAAGGACAAAACTGTATCACACAATGTGTTTATTGGTATGAGAGCAAAACCAGATTGTGTGGGATTGGTATTCTTTCCCCATGTGGTTCCTCTACCCTGGCTGGATGTTCATCCTCCTCTCTTTGTGGTGGGACAGAAGTGCAGATACTACACTGGCAGTCACATTGTTATATTCAAGGGTTTGCCAGAGTCCATGGCCCACCTGATTGCCAAGTATTATTAGAAACACTTAATAAGAGATAATGAAATGGGAAGTTGGCCTGCTGCACATTCAGAATACAGAATAACAGAGTCGGAAGGGACCTTGGAAGTCTTCTAACCCAACCCCCTGCTCAAGCAGGAGACCCTATACCATTCTGGACAAATAGCTGCCCAATCTCTTCTTGGAAACCTCCAGTGATGGAGCACCCCTAACTTCTGGAGGTAAGCCATTCAACTGATTAATTGTTCTCACTGCCAGGAAATTTCTCCTTAGTTCTAGACTGAATCTCCCCTAATCTCCCCTTGATAGGTTTCCATCTGTTACTTCTTGTCTTGCCCTCAGATGCTTTGTAGAATAGGTCAACCTATTCCATTGTCTTTGCTGACAAGAACGCCTGTGTATGTTGCATAGTCCCTATAGGGCATTCTTTGGAAATAGCAATGATGGGCTATAAATGATATGGAATTACCAGGAGTAGGAATTGAGGATTGTAGTGATGATCAGTCTTATTTTGTGGGGATATACAGTATTTACAGATCCTGATATAGAACATTCTACAAAAGCTTGGAGTGTTCTGATTCTACTTCTTACTACATTGAATCTCCTCCAGACATATTTATTTATTTAATTTTATTTATATGCTGCCCAATCCCAAAGGACTCAGGGCGGCGACATAGCCATTCCAGGAATGGTTTTCTAAGTAAATCTTCCAAACTGTTTGAGATGATCTACAGTCCTGTTTTGGAGTTGATTATCCCTTGCATACAACACATAGCTTCTAATTTGGAGGATTAACTTCCAGAAACTACCCAATCACTCTTGGTTGGGCGTGGTCTGGAAAGAAAGTGGAACATCTCCTAGAACAGGGGTCTTTAAACTTGGCCCTTTTATGACTTGTGGACTTCAAATCCCAGAATTTCTCAGCCAGCATGCTTGGCTGAGGAATTCTGGGGGTTGAAGTCCACAAGTCATAAAAGGGCTAAGTTTGAAGACCCCTGCCCTAGAATCTTCAGAATATTCTCAATTCTTGAGAGGCTTTACACATCCTTATTCATGTGTGTTTGCTTTCTGGTAAATGGAGGTTTGGTTGACCTTGGCAACAATTTTAAAAGAATTGCCATGATCTATTGTCAAATTACCAAATATCTCTACCAGCCCCAAAGGACTTGCTTCTAAAACAGGTGATAGAAATTGGAGGTGATTTCTTCAATTCTTTGTTGTTGTTGTTAATTGCGAAGTCGTGTCCGACCCATCGCGACCCCATGGACAACGTGTCCTCTACCATCTTCTGGAGTCCATTTAAGTTCACACCTACTGCTTCAGTGACTCCATCCAGCCATCTCTTTCTCTGTCGTCCCCTTCTTCTATTGCCCTCAGTCTTTCCCAGTATTAGGCCCTTCTCCAGTGAGTCCTTCCTTCTCATTAGGTGGCCAAAGTATTTGAGTTTCAACTTCAGGATCTGGCCTTCTAAAGAGCAGTCGGGGTTGATTTCCTCTAGGACTGACCAGTTTAAACGCCTTGCAGTCCAAGGGACTCGCAGGAGTCTTCTCCAGCACCATAGTTCAAAGGCCTCAATTCTTTGGCGCTCAGCCTTTCTTATGGTCCAACTTTCATAGCCATACATTGCAACTGGGAAGACCATGGCCTGGACTATGCGCACTTTTGTTGGCAGGGTTTCAATTCTTTATTTACCCTATAACATTCTCTTGATAAAGCTGGATTTAAAAGAATCCATAAACTTTGAAACAATGGATCCAAAGAGTTTCTCCACTGATAAGTGAATAATGGTTTGTGAGTATGGAAGTAAGCAAGAGGGGTGGTGATACCAATTGCAGATAAACCTACTAAGTCTCATTTGTTTTGATTCTAGCATCCGCTCCTCAGACCATACACAAGTGAACAAGATGATGCTCACAGAAGAAAGTCCAGCTATGCTAGGGAGTGGAAACACTAACCCCGAAGATGGAGTGCATCGGGCCTATGACAACGAAGAGGATGGAGTATCTTACAACTACACCTTTTTCCATATCTGCCTCTTCTTGGGCTCCCTCTACATCATGATGACACTTACCAACTGGTATAGGTGTGTACAACTGACCCTACTCATTCTTCCCCTGCTCCAGTTCTATCTGTTTCAAGTAATTTTCAAGTTTAATTTACTTGATTTGCATTTAAGGAGCGGGGTGGCTATCTGAAGGCTGTTTGAAAACATCATCTGATCCAGAATTTTATGCACTGCCTTTAGCCTTTTGAGCATTTATTAGCTAGTGCTCTCTTTGTGGACTTCTAATATGGTTTTGGATGAGGCCCCAGTGGTGGGTATCCATGTTATTTTCCTGTATGAACTTGTCTATTTTTAAGGTAAAGACGAACAGATGTTGCCTCCTTGAGATGGTGCTTCTTCCTTTTTCAAGTGCAAACTAAGGTGTAATCTTCCTTCAGGACTGATATTTGGACATTTCGTATAAACAGCAGAATAAGGAGGCAACATCTGTTTGCCTTTACCATAGGACAGGGGTCCTCAAACATGCTGGCTGGGGAATTCTGGGAGTTGAAGTCCACAAGTCTTAAAGTGGCCAAGTTTGAGGACCCCTGCCATAGGGATGCAAAGCAGATGGCATGGTATATCTTCCCTCTTCCAGCTCCTTGCCTTCTTGCATCTAGAACCTTCTAGAGGCAATCATTTATAGAGTTGGCCCTGACGAAAATTGTTCCCAATAAACAGAATCTTTAGAACCCAAACTGAATGGGGTTTCTTAAGCTTAGGAAAAGGGTATATAAAGAAGAATGGTATCAAGAAGATATTAAACCATAATCTGGTTGAATTGGGCATCATGTGAGGTGCAAACCCTCACAGCATCAATTAGCATTCTGGGTGAAATGTACCTGCTATGGCTTATTCAATCACAATTTTTTAAAAATTTCCCAGCTTCTCAGGATGCTCTATACTTCTTCAGGTTTCTAGTGTTCCTGCTTTACCCTCTTCCCGTTGCCTAGGAAACCAGCATGATTTGTCAGCTTGGCGCAATTCAAGCTTTGGAAAGAGAAAAAAAAATTATTCTCCTCAGATGAACTCAGTGTTGGCTGGGTGAGCAGAAGCAGGTGCTGCTCACAAGCTGGCAAGCCATGCCTAGAATGGAGCATTTTGGATGAGGGACCCAGGGGAGTGGGGTGGAGGGGAGATTGCAGGGAAGATGAGACAATGGTTGCAAACAGCATTGCCTCATCCTGAAGACCACTATATTTGTTTGCACAGAACTTTTATCTCCGAGTCCTTTGGTTATTTTTAGTGCATGACTTTCTGTCACATCCCCAAACCTGCAGCTGTGCCAAGTCACGCTGCAGTGGGCTGGTGCTGGCCATATATGCCTCAGCAGGATTGACACGGTATGTGTGTGTGTGTGTGGGGTATGGAAGATGGTCTAGTCCGTGACACTGCTCTGACCAAAAATCCAGGCTTCCCTGCCAAATTCTTGGCTGCCACTGCCCTTTCCAAATGAAAACAAAGTAGAGAAGGGCTTGCATGCAAAATTGGGGTTGGGTTCTTGATCTTGCTTTCCCTTGGAGAGGACGCGAGGTCAGGCTGAGTGCATAACTACAAGAACCAGGCTGAAAAACAATGAAAGGGTCAGGAAAAGACCTAAGGCAGCAAATAATCCCCATTATTCTTCTCCTCCAGGCAGACAGGGCTGGCTGGCTTTGCTGCCACACAGATGGGACTGGGAGAGTCCAGTCTTGCCACATAACTGGGGTGGTGTGTCAACAAGGCCCTACTATAGTACAGCTGAATCTTGGCAGCTTTAGGATGTGTGGACGTCAATGCCAGAATTTCCCAGCCAGCATGAATTTCAAATCCACACAACTTAAAGCTGCCAAGTTTGATGAACACTGCCCTACAGGTTTTTTGGATGCCCTTCTTTTTCCCTCACTGGGTTGAAGTTTCTTTGGAAAGAAAGCAGGAAAAAAGTTTTCTAGGAGATGGTTACTCATTTACAAAGGCTTTGGCTGGTTTCCCACCTTGCCCTAAACTGCGGCATGCTTAACTAAGGCTTACTGAATCAGTTACAGTCGGCTGGGTTTACACGCCAGACCATAGTTACAAGCCCCACAGTGGCTGGGTTTGTAGCAGAAGCTCAATCAGAAGGAAACAAATCATAGTATGGTTTAGCCCAGTGCTTCCCAAGCTTAAGTACATTACCCAACCTGTATAAAAGACACATGAACCATTATCCATCAGAACAAGGATGTTTAAATTTTACTAAATATACTTGAAAAGTTCCCAAGGCAAACATTTGAATAATTTCATCAATTATCAATGGTAACTTGTTCAATGCTAACGGAAGGGACTTATAATCAGTTCTTGAGATTTAATAAAACTTTCTGATACATGGTTTTGGGTAAGGAAAGAAAAATTTGGGAAACACTAGTTTAACAACAACAACAACAATAGAATAACAGAGTTGGAAGGGACATTATAGGTCATCTAGTCCAACCCTCTGCTCAACCAGGAGACCCTATACCATTTATGACAAGTGGCTGTGCAGTTTCTTCTTGAAAACCTCCAATGATGAAGCACCACAACTTCTGAAGGCAAGATATTCCACTGGTTGATTGTTCTCACTGTCAGAAAATTTCCCCTTATTTCCAGGTTGAATCTCTCCTTGAACTGTTTCCATCCATTGTTCCTTGTCTGGCTTTCGGTTGCTTTGGAAAATAAGTTGATCCCCTCTTCTCTGTGATAGCCCCTCAAATATTGGAACACTGCTATCATGTCTTCCCTGGCCCTTCTCTTCATTAGACTAGCCATGCCCAGTTCCTGCAACCATTCTTCATATGTTTTAGCCTCCAGATTTAGCATGGTGTGCTCCATCTAGACTAGTCTTACTGATAGAGCTTTGCAAAAACTATCCAAGGGAGTAGAGTAGAGTAGAGTAGAGTAGAGTAGAGTAGGAGCTGGAAGGGACCTAGCCCAGCCCCCTGCTCAAGCAGGAGAACCTATACCATCTCAGACATGTGAATGTGTAGTCTCTTCTTAAAAACCTCCAGTGACGAAGCCCCCACAATTTCTGGGGGCAAGCTGTTCCACCGGTTAATTGTCCTCACTGTCAGGAAGTTTCTCCTTAATTCCAGGTTGCTTGCGTCTTTGATCAGTTTACAACCATTGTTTCTTGTCCTTCCCTCTGGTGCTTTGGTGAACAACTGGACCCCCTCTGCCTTGTGGCAGCCCCTCAGATATTGGAATACTGCTATCATGTCTCCCCTATTTCTTCTTTTCTTTAGACTAGCCAAACCCAAGTCCCGCAGCCATTATTTGTATGTTTTAGTCTCCAGGCCTTTGATCATCTTAGTTGCTCTTGTCTGATTTTTTTTCCAAACTCTCAACATCTTTTTTGTGATATGGTGACCAAAACTATCAGAAGATCTTGTCCATACAAGTTGGTGTTCTAACTCCGAGCATCGGTTCTTCCCTTGCACTCGTTTCCCCTTTGTTGGACTTTCACAAGGCTTTTGAGGACACAGGCTGTGTTCCATTAGTTGGAGTTGCTTGGATGTTTGATTTGGAACCGTGGGTTTGGAGGCGTGTAACAATTCCAGGCCTCACAGTTTCCCTTGAATGGTCTTTTCTTTCTCTTCTAACAGAGCCAGACTCATTTGGAGGGACATGCTCAGGGATTTTGACATTATTTTTAGGATTAATAAATGCTGAATGTGTCAAGCTTATATGGATCTATCCTAATGGAGTGAAATGGGATGTACAGATAATCCCGGAAAGAAGGTCCGACTTACAGGCAACCCACACTTAGGGACCCCGAAGCCTCACAATGTTTTCATGAATTGTCAAAAAGAGACTGTATATTAAAAACATGTGGCTTCAGCCGGCCATTAAAACATTATGCGGCTTCTGCAGTTCATTGGCTTGAGGAAAGAATCACCGCTCACCCGTTTTAGTAATAGACAACCCGTTCATAAGCATGAGTTCCAACTTCATATACATTCAAGGTAAAAACAGCTAGGAGTAGAATTTGTTTTTAATCTTGGGAGTGCCTGTATTAAAACAAGGGTGTGTGTGGGGGGGGGGGAAGCAGTGGGGGGGAGGGGATTGTAAAATATCTGCTGGATTTGACTAGGCTTTTTTGGTAAGTTTCTCTAGCTGCCTTAAGATGACCTCCAAAAAACAAAAAACTCACAACCCAATCCAAAAAGGAATTAGAGTTGGCCCTAGTTGGGTTTGAGATGTAGCACCACCGGATTATTTCAAGCCTGTTTTCAATGGCAGTTATGCAGTTGCTACTGTGAAGGTCCAGTTTAATAAATCAGCAAACCAAAAACAGCATTCTGCTGAATATACTTGGTAGTATATAACTTTTGACTAATGAAATGGGATTAAAACTGGTATGGTATTAGTGTTTTTCAAGCTTTAAGATATGTGGACTTCCAAACAACTAAAGTTGCTAAGGTTGAGAAACACTGGTCTAGTGCAGGGGTAGGCAACCTTGGCTCTTTTATGACTCATGGATTTCAACTCCCAGAATTCCTGAGCCAGCGTGGCTCAGCTTGGAAACCTTTCCCCTCAGGATGGCTGGTTCAGGAATTCTGGGAGTTGAAGTCCATGAGTCATAAAAGAGCCAAGGTTGCTTATCCCTGGTCTAGTGTGACTGAAAAATAGAATTTCAGTGGATTGATTTGTTGAACTGTATTTGGAATGGTGAAATTTCAAAAGTTTCTAAACTGGTGTTTCTCAAACTTGGCAATTTGATGTTGGCAGGGGAATTCTGGAAGTTGAAGTCCATATGTCTCCAAGTTACCAAATGAGAAACGCTATTCTAAATGGTATTCCGTTTAATTTGTGTTAGTGAAGGCATTAGAGAATGACGTAGAAGAAGAAGGTCTGAGCTGAACATGAAGGTTACAGCTGATGCGTGTGTTGTCTCCATTACAAATTTCCATTGCATTTGGTTAGCCTGAAAATCTGATTAGCAGTTGCTATCCAGCTGTGTACAGATGCTGAAACAAATAAGTTTCTGTTTTAGCTATACCCTAGAACACAGGTCGGCAACCTGCGGCTCCGGAGCCGCATGCGGCTCTTTGAGCCTTCCCCTGTGGCTCCCAGCCTCCTCTGCTTTGCAGAGAGAGAGAGAGACAGAGAGAGGCAATTGCGCTTCCCTGCTTCAATCTCTCTCTCTCTCTCTCTCTCTCTCTCTCTCTGTGTGTGTGTGTGTTTGTGGTGTGTGTGTGTGTGTGTGTGTGTGTGTATGTGTAAAAGAGAGTGTACTCACATGTTCTCCGAGGAGCTGAAAAGCTTTCTGGGCGGAGCTCCTCCCTTTGCTGCGTCTCAGCAGGAAGCAGGAAGGGCAGGAGAGAGCTAGCTAGCCCAGCTAGGCTGACTCAGGAATTCTGGGAGTTGAAGTCCATGAGTCATAAAAGAGACGAGGTTGCCTACCCCTGATCTTGTTGGACAACAGCTTGAAGCTTGCCAGGTGAGCAGCAGATAGGAGAGGGGGGGGAGAAAGAGAGAGAGAGAGAAGAGAGGGAGGGAGAGAGAGGAGAGAGAGAGAGAAAGAAAGAGAGTGGGGGAAGAGGAGTGGTAGACCAAGGGCAGATAGAGAGGGAGGGAGAGAGACAGAGAGAGAGAGAGAGACCCTTTTGACATCTAAAATGAAGATAACACTGCATATATCCTTTTTTTAACCTGTGTCTGTATGTGTGTGTGTGTATGGGTGTGTGTGTGTGTGTGTGTATATATATATATATATATACATACATACATACATACATATACATATATACACACACACACACACATACACACAAACAAATACCCCCACACACACAAACACACACACCTATAATAAAGATAAAAAAGGATATATGCAGTGTTATCTTCATTTTAGATATCAAAAGGGTTTTGCGGCTCCCAGTGTTTTGTTTTTGGTGGGAAACGGGTCCAAGTGGCTCTTTAAGTGTTTTGGGTTGCCTACCCCTGCCCTAGAAGAACACAACAAATAATCTGATGTGAACAGTGTAGTTTTCTGTAGCAGACTTGGTTGCAGCCCACTGAAGATAGCTTCATTCATGCTTGCTGCATGAAACAAGTCCTTTTAATATGCCTTGTTCTGTGCATAGAGTTCCTTTCCTTAGAAACTAAGGAAATTATTTGGTTGGTGTGCCAGTGCATGGCTGTTCAGCTTCAGTGTGAGTTTGAACATTTGGAAATGATGGTTTCTTAGAATGGGTAGATGTGTAATTTCTAGGAGATGGGAGCGGCATGGATTTAAATCCATCAGCTGTCCTAGAGTCAGACTTTCTCCAACCTCATAGGATGGCTGTGATTAAACACTGGAAGAACCATGAGGAATATCTACAATTGAGAGAAGGTTGGATATGGTGGACAGGAATATTTCTGAATCTCTTAAACTGAATGTTTGATGTTCATCTATCTTTTCTCCAGGCCTGATCAAAGCCGCCAAGAACTGATCAGCCCATGGACTGCTGTCTGGGTGAAGATTTCATCCAGCTGGGTTGGGCTTCTCCTGTATCTTTGGACTTTGATTGCCCCACTTGCACTTCCAGACCGTGACTTCAGCTGAAACCTTTCAAGAGTGCCAACTGCCCAAGGGAAAAAGTTACACAGTGCCATGAAAATAAGCAAGCAAAATCATTACTTCTGGTCTGAATGTTAGCTGTGAGCCCTCCTGCCTATGAAGGCAGAAATGATCAACCCTCCTCTTTCCTCGGTCTTACATTCAGACAAATCTACAACTTTTTTGTGCCTTTATTTCTTAAAAATTTCTTTAGAAACCCAGTTATGCTGGTTTAATCCACTTATGTGTGCAAATCTTGACACACATTTGTGGTGAAGGATGTGTGCACAACTTCCCCCTCCTTACGCTAACAGCCTTCCAAGTATGTTGTAAAATATCTGAGTAATTTACATGGTGCTGTTCATCTTTTTTAAAAAAGATATTTGGCATAGGAATAACTATGTGTTTCTTTTTAATTTGTGGTTTAAAGGAATTTTTCACCACTTTGCCTTGTTACATGGAGCCTTTTAAATAGACTCTCGGTTCTTTTTGATATGGAACTTGATGGTAATCAAATAAAAATCCTTGTATTAAGTAGATGAATGTTGAGCATAGAAACAATCATAACAGTGCCTGGGTTAGCTTGATTTAGGGAAGTCTTCTGAAAGCCTTGATTTTAATATAGCATTCTTACCAACCCAGTCAATTATGGTTTACTTAGTAAACCATGATTAGATCATGGTGTAGCACATTCTAGGAAAAGTGTCTCATTCTGGCATTTAGAGACGCGAAAGAAATTATTGTGGCTAGTGGGAAGGCGTTCTATAAATTATAGGATTGACTGAATGCACTAGAAAAGTCACATCAATAACCTGAAAAATCACATCAAAATCTAGAATAGTTTAGGTTATGTCTCTCTTTGCCAGACCCCAGCTGTGATTGATCAGAACGACAAAGAAATGTTGTCATTTTCCGGCTAACAAATTTTATTCAAAATTTTCTGACCAACAAATTTTATTCATAGTTTTCCAACTAACAAATTTTATTACAAGGCATAAGCTTTTGTGAACTGCAGCTTATTATCTTTGAATAAAATGTGTACATTGGAAAAGATGCTACCGGTTCCTTCTGAATTTTGCTACTGTAGATTTAACACTGTTTGTCAGAATCCAATTATATTTCATCTCTAGTTATCAACTATAGAAAACCCCATTTCTGCCTTCTCTGGATTCTGTCATATGATGAAGGGAAGGAGGTGAATAAAGGGGCTTTATGGCCCTCACTTCCTTCAGTACATTTCAAAGGGACTGGATGTGGATATTACCAAAAGGACTAACCATAACAATGGGGCTATTACCTTTCATGTACTCCTCTCTGAAGTCTCCCTCCAGCCGGCAGTAAGGAAAAGGGGGTGGGAGTGTAATGCCTGAGACTGTCGCTGGAAGAAGGGGGAGATTGGGTGGGGCTACTGGGGAACCCCTTAAAACCTTGAATGGGAGAGCTTGGACCCCAAGTCCTGTCTAGAATGCCTGCAACCATTTTCTCTTAATAAATGATGCCTGTTGGAAGAACTATTCCAAGAGTTCTGTCTTCTTAAGATGCAAAGTGGGGTGGGTCCTTACATTAGACAGGACTTGCAAAATTAATCCACCTGAAGGGAGACCCTTGCAGGGGGATTTTTGCAAAAAAATTACCATGTCAGACAATGGAGCAAGAAAGGGGGAAAACTCCCAAGAAAGAGAGCCGCTGCCCTGACTGGAACCTTGCTGGATGTCGGGATCTGAGAGGTCAGATTCCTCAGGAGAAGAAGTGGTGGGGACACGGGACCACAAGCCTCGCTGGTCAATGGGCGTTGGAAAGAAAGGCGAGTGGGAAAAGAAATCAAGAAAGGTGACCCTGAGACGGGGGGCCAAGCAACCAGAATGGAAGCAGGAGATGGAGAAATCCCTGCACGCAAGTGAAGAGGGAGAAAGCTGGGCACTGTACTCAGACTGGAACCTAGAGAAAGCTATTGACCTGATGAAGAGAACTCTCAGCTCCGTAGGAGAGGAGAATCCTGAGCCCTATGGCCGCCCCAGCTCCTGGAGCCGCAAAGGGAGAGACACCGAGGGGGAAGTGGAACCTGCAGCCCCAGGGACATCTGCTGATCCAGTAGTCCCCACCCCCTGCCGAACCACAGATGGCAATCTGGACGGAAGACACTACCACCAACAATGGAGGCACCGATCCATTCCAAGACGCCCACCGTTGGAGGTGAAATTCAAAGGAGAGCCAACACGCTTGGGGTTTTTCCTAACCCAAGTCCTCAGCTACATGGAGGAATACAGGCGGGACATCACCAGTGACAAAGCCCGCATCCGGATCGTGCAATCTGCCCTGGATGGACCGGCTGCAGATTGGGTGGTAAACTTGCATGACTCCAATGCCCCAGAGCTCGACGACTTCAACCGTTTCATGTCCTCTCTGAGAAGACGATTTGAAGACCCCCTGGCTGATCGCAAAGCCTGCGAAAGGATAAAAACGATGAGGCAAGGTAAATGCCTGGTGGCTGAATATACGCAAGAATTCTGGGCCATTGCCAGCAAACTGAACTAGCCAGAAGACATCCTCCTTAGCCATTTCAAAGACGGACTAAATTATGACTTATATGATGCTTGCCTGCCCCAAGGGGACCCACACCAACTTGAGCAATGGTACGTCTTGGCAGAGGAAGCAGAGATCGACATACTGAAGAGACACCGCCGAGGAAAACAATGGAGCTGCTCCCCGCCTGAATTGACACACGAACCAGTGAAACCATTGGCTACAGCCAAGAAGCAAATGGGGTGTTTCAAGTGCAGAAAAGAAGGGCATCGAGCTGTAGAATGCCGCTCCAAAGCCCCCCAGCACAATCCAGACAGATCCCCGATCAGCAAATCCAGAAAGTCTTCAGCTAAGCCAAAAGAAACTGCCATGAGAATGATGGAAATTGTGGAACCTCCCACCTCTGCTCATCAGGGGGAAAGAACTCCAGCCTACACCGCAGGGCTGGTGGATGCCTCAGATGACAGCTCGGAAGGCGAACCCCTGGTAAGTGGACGCATCGCACCCATCCTCAAGACAGTGACTATATTAATTCCCCCCATGCCCGAAGCCGTGAAGGTGAAAGCCTTAATAGACTCTGACTGCACCCGCTGCCTCATTAGCCCGACACTAGTGGGGAACCTGGGCATTCCGTCGAGGAGACTGGAACAACCAATCTCATTTGGCCAGTTAGATGGATCCATAGCGGGGGGGGGGGGGTGCTAGCTACCCTAGCCACTTTACCAATACACCTCTCCCTGGGCAAACATGAGGAGGACATAACGTTTGTGGTGACCCCAGGCACGGAATGCCCAATTATCCTAAGGATGGAATGGTTAAAAAAATGGAACCCCTTGGTGAATTGGAGGATGACAGAAATCAAATTCCCAAAGGGGGACCCTATGGACTTAAAATCCCAAGGGGGGCTACCAGAATCTAGAATAGAAAAAGTATCCATGGGAGAGGAAAAGGGACCACCAGAAATACCAGAGGAATACAGAGACCTTGCTGAAGTTTTTAGTGAGGAGAGGGCGGATGAGCTCCCCCCCCACCGACCCACAGACTGCCATTGAATTCAAGCCTGGGGCAAAACTCCCGAAGCCCAGATTATACTCCATGAGCCCAAAGGAGAAGGAGGAAATGGAGAGATTCATTAAAAAAAACCTAGAGAGGGGTTTCATTGAGCCAGCCAAGCCTAAACTGGCTGCCCCGGTCCTCTTTAGAGAGAAGAAGGATGGTTCTTTACGCTTATGCATGGATTATAGGGCCCTGAATACAATCAGTGAAAGCAACCTATACCCCCTGCCCCTCATGAAAGACATGCTGTCACACCTCTCGAAAAGGAAAAAATTTTCTAAAGTAGACCTAAGGGAAGCTTACTATCACGTGAGAATTAAGGAAGGGGATGAATGGAAGACCGCATTTAACTGCCCCATGGGGTGCTATCAATTCAAAGTGTTGCCATTTGGATTACAAGGGGGCCCTGCAGTATTTATGCAATTAATCAATGACGTTCTAAGGGAGCACCTGTTTAAGGGGGTCCTTGTTTACTTGGATGACATTCTTATCTTCACCGAAACAAAAGAGGAACATGTCAACCTAGTCAGAGCGGTTTTAAAGAAATTGCGAGCCGCCCACCTATATGCCAAACTCTCGAAATGCGAATTCCACCAGGAAAGGATAGACTACCTAAGTTATCGCATATCCCCCCAGGGCATTGAAATGGACCTAGAGAAGGTCAGAGCAGTATTAGATTGGGCACCACCCTGCACAAGAAAGCAACTACAAAGTTTCCTGGGCTTTGCAAACTTTTACCGCCAATTGATCCCCTCATTTGCCCAGATAGCCTTGCTCCTCAGTAACTTAGTAAAAACGAAGGGAGCATCCTCAGTAAAACCTACCCAGCCACTAACATGGACAATGGAGTGCCAAGCAGCGTTTGAGAGATTAAAGAGACTTTTTTCTGCCGAACCAGTACTAAGGCACCCAGACATGGATAAGCCCTTCGTAATACAGGTGGATGCAAGTGATGTGGCAGTGGGGGCTGTTCTATTACAAGAAAACGATGATGGGGTATTGCAACCCTGTGCATATACATCCAAGAAACTCACGGAAACAGAACAGCGCTGGTCCGTATGGGAGAAAGAGGCATACGGGATATGTTGGGCATTACTCACATGGCAACAGTTCCTGGAAGGCAGCAAAATCCCCTTCCAGGTGTGGACTGATCACAAAAATTTGGAAGCCCTGAAAGCGCCCAGGAAACTCAATCCCAAACAAGCCCACTAATCCTAGCATTTTCACCAGTTCCAATTTAAGCTCAAACATTTACCAGGGAGAAAGAACCAATATAACAGCACGCGAGCCACAGACTCTAAACCAATGATGGCAGAGTCACAACTGGCAGCACCAGTAATCACCAGAACTCAAGCTAAATTAAAACCACAACTGGACAGCCAAACTGGAATTGAATTCCGGAAAAGTTTGGAAACAGATGAATGGTTCCAGAAAAACAAACATGTGCACAATGAGAGACGGGTTGCCTTGGGTAGGGGAAAAGTTATATATACCAACAACCCAAAGAGTCACATTCATGCAGCTTTGCCATGACACAAAATCAGCAGGGCATTTTGGATTTGTAAAAACTTTACACTTAATTAAATGGCAATTTTGGTGGCCATCCATAAAAAAGGACATAGAAAGCTACCTGGCCAGCTGCCCAAAATGTGCAACTGCAAAGAGGTTGCAAGGAAATCGCCAGGACTGTTACAAATAGTGGCAAATCCCTCAGCCCCCTGGAGGGAAATAGCCATGGATTTTATAGTGGAATTGCCAGAAAGCAATGGGAATACTGTTGTCTGGACAGTCACGGACTTGTTTTCCAAACAGGTGCACTTTATCCCTTGCCAAAAGATTCCCACTGCAAAAGCCTTAGCAAAACTTTTCATCCAGCACATTTACAGATTGCATGGGGCACCCCAACGCATCATCTCTGATAGGGGAGTGCAATTTACATCTGCATTTTGGAAGGAATTTTTATCCCTTTTAGGAACCACTCAGGGACTGACATCTAGCCATCACCCGCAGTCGAATGGTCAATCGGAAAAATCAAACTCAGTACTTGAGCAATATTTGAGATGTTTTCTTAATTTCCAGCAGAATGATTGGACGGACTTACTCCCTTTTGCAGAAGTTGACTACAATAATGCAGTCCACTCCAGCACAGGTTACACTCCTTTTCAAATAGCCACTGGTCAAAGTTTCAACCCCATGCCAGAATTAACCCCAAACGAACCAACGATCCCATCACTGAAAGAATGGATGGAACAATTACAAAACACCTGGCCAATAGTTAGAAAAGCACTAGATGAAGCTAGACAGGCATACAAAGCACTAGATGAAGCTAGGCAGGCATACAAAGCAGGCATACAAAAAGAAAGGGTTGAGCCTACACCATTCATTATAGGAGAAATGGTGTACTTATCTACAAAATACCTAAAGTCCCTACAGCCCTGTAAAAAACTTGGACCAAAATATATAGGGCCTTTTCCA